CGATAGAACCAGTTTCTGTCAGATTTATATATTTTAGCAAGGTCGTAAAAGCTTTTGTTGTTTCTTCTGACTAAATGCAACATAACCATATCTCTATCTTCTTCATTTTCCATCTCTTCAGTATAAATCATATACTTATAACTCTTTTCCTTTCCTTTTGGTACTGAACGTGGTATTCTTTTCTGTATGCTTTTGTCTTTGGATTCAATGACTTCATCTTTTGCTTGAAGTTTCTTTTCCATCTCTCCACGTTCTGCTTTATATAGTTCATCTAACATCATGAAAATATAACAAGCATAACGAGGTGAAGCCCACATTGCTACAGCATTTACTAAAAGTCTATGAACATAATAACCTTTCAAACCAGGAGCCAAATTCTTGCGATTTTCGTACGGAATCTCTTCCCTCGGAAAACCGAGGGAAGCAATCATATGAGGAAATTCTTCTAAAAGTTCTTTTGCCTGTTGGTTTTCAAACCAATGATATGCTTGCTTTGTAGAACGAAGAGCGTTCATTATACTTTGCATTTGATACATATCATCTTTGACTGAACGAATGAGACGTAACTGTTTGTTATACTGTATGTATTCGTATTCTTCATTTATGGCTTCATGAACGATAGCAGTTGTTGTGTTCTCTAATGTTGACATTACTGTTCTTACATACAGGATAAAAAAATAAATAAAATAAAAACTAACTTTATTTTTTCTGAGATAAACACTATTTCTTCACAACATTAAATTTTATCCTGTATGAAATGACTTTAAAAAGATTATTGACTGACTTCGAATACTATCTCATTGACGCACTGACAGACCCTCAAAACTGTGTTGAAAGTTCTTTAAGCTTTAAGATTGAAGGTACGACGCATTTTGTCTTCACTTACGTATTGAAAGAATATGACCGTTATCATAACGAAGTGAATCAAACACTAATAAAATTTGTAGATAAAAAATTGGTTAACAATGAATATTTTAAACGTGAAGACCCAAACACTGCTGGAGATGATGAAGAATACAGACAAGTTATTGAAAAAAATAACGCAAGATTAGATGCAATAGAAAAGAAGTTTAATGAATGTCTTACAAACACGTATGAATATCTTATGCAGTGGGAAGCCAGATGGAAATAAATTTACGTCAAATATGCAATTTATAAAATCTTATGTCGACAGGCTACGTAGCACAGTGGTCAAAGGTGGTGTTATGGAGGGGTCAGGGTCTGTGGTTCGAACCGCGACAGCGCCGTATTTTCTTATTTTCTTTATTTGTCTTGTTTGTCGTGAATAAAAAGTGTCATAAAAGTGCTCTATCTTCCACGGGAATAAATAAAAAATTTACTTTATTTCTTCTTTATTTCTTCTTTATTTCTTTGTTCCCGTGGAAGAAGGGTTTTGCTGTTTTTTCTCAGCCGAAATCAATGATTTTTTCATTTTTGGAATCCTTAGCGAATGAGGAATCTTTTCTCTCGTGGAAGCTTTGACCTAAAATAAGCCGCTAGCGGCAAGGGCGAAGCCCATAATTTAGGTGAAGAGGTGAGATGTCACCTGTTTTCTCACCTAATTTCTCACCCTCAGCCGCTAAGCGGCGAGACCCAAAGGGTCTTGAATTTGTCATGAATTTTCACAAAAGACCAAAAATAAAGTTAGTTTTTATTTTTATTTATTTTTTTATTTTGTATGTAAGAACAGAAATGTCAGTCGAAGCAAAAACATTCACGAACAAATCTAATGGTGAAACATTCACAAAAGGCACTTATAATGGTATTGAAGTCTTACGTAGAGACAAGGATGGTTACATTAATGCAACAAAGATGGCGAGAGAAGCAGGAAAGTTAAACCATTTAAACAGATTTCTCAATAGTACTAAAATGCAGGAAATTCTTGAGTTTTGGTTGAAAGAATACGGTCGAGCCAAAAGTGGCTCAACCTCAAAACAAGCATTTTATGAGCTTACTAAGGGCGTTATGAATGAATTCAAAGGTATTTACATACATGCTGACCTCGTTCATTTTGTTGCTGAATGGTGCTCTGTAAAGTATGCATTTTATGTCAAAGATATTATGGACTCCATAGACAAGAAAGTTCATGAGAAGTTAGATGAAGAAGAACTCGAAGATACAGTGGAGAATGCTAAACCTTTGTTCGAAGAAGAAGTTGGAAAAATGTGTGAAAAACAATTAGAACATGAACGTGAGATATATTATGGTTATAGAGATTCTCCATACGAACTAGACCAATGGGAACAAGAAGATTTAAAGAGAGAATTTAGAGAATATGAACTCGCTAAGATAGCATTTGAAGCTGCAGAAAAGAAGTTAAAAGTTTGGGGTCGTTTTGTACAAAAATATTGTGAGTAAATGAACCATTTATTTTTATTGAATTCACCAAAAAATAATGTTTAGGTGAAGAGGTGACATCTCACCTGTTTTCTCACCTAATTTCTCACCCCAGTTTTTCACAAGCGTTTTACATGAATTGTACGATGTATATTTGAAATCCTAAACAGTTTTGTAGCTTCTATTTCTTCGCTGAGGATATCGAATGTTTTAACGATACCGAAAGTTTCTTTATACTTCTTCTTGACGTCAGATAATAGGAAATCTTCTGCTGTTGGATAGTTTTTGTTCAGAAATGCTAACATGTCCATTTTATTTTCTGCTGGCTTTTCTGCTTCTTTCTTTAAGTCTGCATAGTCGTTTCGCATTCTTTCTATCTCTTTGACGGAGTAGTTATATTTCCTCATTGCCGCTTTACATTTAGAACATTGCGGATTCATTTTTGCGTTATATTCTGAAACCTTACCTGCTAAAACAACTAAGGCGTCAATGGTTTTCTTTAACTCAAAAGTTGCTGGTTTTATCTGTTCAGTCCATATCTTACCTCTTCTATCTTTATCTCTTATCTGCCATACACATTCAGCAACTAACGAAACAAAGTTATCGTAGGTCTTAAACTCCCCGGATTTATATATGTCAGAAACATTCTTATATACCATGTCGCAATCTTTGTCCATAACCTTATGGTTGCAATGATATCCTAGAAACTCATAGTTTACCTTTCGAATGAACTTCTTTATTTCTACTGAGTCAGTTGGTTTCACTTCTATTTCATCGAATTCAGGAATAGTTAGTTTTTGATGCTGAATTTCAGGTAGTTTAGGTAAATGGTCAATAATGTCCTGCATTTCATAAAGATACTGTTCATTTGTTTCATCTTTCGCACTACAGTTTAAATTAGATGTTAAAAGTTCTTGCTTTATCTTCTGGATTTCTGTTTCGAAAGTATATGAAGAAGGAATGAAGCTTTTCATCTCTACTAACATAGATGTTGGATTCATGACTAACGAGTTTGGTGCTGTTGTTGTGGACAGAGTCCCGCCGTTCGCGGCTTGAATTGTTGTTGTGCCGATTGTTGAAATCATATCTTTACATACAAAATAAAAAAATAAATAAAAATAAAAACTAACTTTATTTTTCTATCTTAAGGAAATGTCAAAAATTCAAGACCCTTTGGGTCTCGCCGCTTAGCGGCTGAGGGTGAGAAATTAGGTGAGAAAACAGGTGACATCTCACCTCTTCACCTAAATTTATTTTTGGTCATTTACACTCATTTACGAAGAAGTTATGACAAAGCATTTACGAAGAAGTTATGACAAAGTCACGAGGGTGAAAAAAGAGACCCAAAGGGTGAGAAATTAGGTGAGAAAACAGGTGACATCTCACCCCTTCACCTAAATTTATTTTTGGTGTAAATTTATGAAAACATTAATAATACATGACTGTTCTCATTCATGTCTGATTTACATCCAACGAAAAAGTTTAGAAGAATTTTCTTATTCTTTCTGGCATGTTTTTATCTTTCCAGTACTCCCGCTCTAATGGTCCCAGATGAGTTGGTTTAGATTCTCTCAAGTTCTTAGATGGTATAACATCTTCAACGCCTCCTTCATATCTTACTTTATAAGTGTCATCGTTTGTGTTATAGTCAAGTATTTCAATAACCACTCCTCGCTTTGCTTCGTCAATGGTTTCAGCAAGTTTGCCATTACTACTTTCGACTAATTTATGTCGAGGGTAAAATGCTATGGAGTCGTCAGCAGCTTTTATAAGATATCCATTACCTTGCGTAGAGTCTACGATATAATAATTTCGACTTAACCTTAAACGTTTCTTTGTCAACGGTTTGTCGTCAAGAACTACACGAACTTTTGTACCAGGAATGAGAGTAAATTGTGTTGAATTTCTGATATTTTGTGTTTGACTTCGTTTCTTTTGTATATACTTTTCTTCTTGTTGTTGTGTCATTGAATTTGGTGTATGTCCTGTTGTAGAATGTGTTGAGGAATTATATACTTCGAGAAAATGTTTCATTGTTTCTTCGGTAAAGTCTCGCTCTTGATTTAAATCTCTGAGCGTTCTTATGAAGCGATTAATGATACGAGTATGTTATGGTTATGGTCTTCAGTAGTGTAGTGAGTTATGTTATGCTTAATGAGAAATTCTGTGATTTCATTGCTGAGGTATGCACCGTCTTGGTCTGATGTTAAAATACTTGGGCTATGTTCTGCTACAAACTTTTGTAAAACTCTTAACACTTCATGAGTTCCTTTATTTCTCATTATATACGCATATGCTTTACGAGTGTTAACATTTATGAAGATGAGGAATGGTTTATGTCCTCCTTTTCTGCTTTGAATGAGAGTGTCAAATTGGTATGCGTCAGGAGTGTTGGAGTAAATTGGTAAAAAGTAGTCGTAAGGATTTATTTTTGTTTGATGTACAACATTTTTGTCAAAGAACCTTTTCACTTCAGCTCTGTTAGTAAATCCCGAACTCTTTGCAGCTTCATTGAATTTCTTAAAAGACCTCCATGGATGTTGTTCGAATACTTCTTTCAAGCTCATTTATGTAAAGTTAAAGATTTTATTCTAGGCTCAAGCGCGTTCATTGAACTCTATTCCATGCAAATACAGTCATAAATGGTGGCATATAATCTGCACCCGAGCCTGTTGGATTTGTTGTGAAAGTATGTGAATGATTTCCTCCTGGTTCAGTTGGTCGAAAAGTCTTTTTTGCTGCATTGTTATAAGATGGAGATAAAACGTCATTGCCAGCTTCATATTCTGAGTTGTATAATGGATGGTCTCTTAATGAGTGACTATGGTCGCCAGAAAAGTTTGTCGTTCCTGTATGAGTGTGCGGTGGAAGGTTTGCTTCAGTAATTTTCTTCGAACCTCCTGTTTGCTTTGAATATCTAGCACAGTATAAGAATTTATCTACAATCTGTTCCCACGTACCGAAACCCAGAACTGTTGCTGGATTTGTTGAGTTCATTGACGTATAAATAGAACCTATAGGATATAATGTTTGAAGTATTTCTGTCTTTAATGTTTGAAGCTCTGTTTTGTCGGCTTTCTTATCTAACATTGCTGGTAGTTCATATGCTTCAAAGTTTCTGGCATGATCTTCGGTATTCCTGCAACTCTTATCTAAATTGTTAAGAGTATCTTTTACGCTTGTACTTGGATTTTCTAATGGTGCACTTGAACCAAGGTCAAAGTTCAATATTATGTCGTCTGCTCTAACAGTAGTGAAGGATTTATGTGTATGGTTCTTGTCGGCTTTCTTGTCATATAAATCTTGAGCAGTGAATTTAATATTATGTTCATCCTTCATGACATAAACATCTTTACATCTAATGTTTCTCATCGTCGTTATGTCGTCATCCGATGTTAAACCTTGTGGAAAGTTAGGAGGTTTACAATATAATGCAGCCGCGTGCGGCGGGGCTCCGCCCTCCCCACCAGTTTCTTCAACCGTTCCTTCAATACTTTCTATAGCAACAGTTGTGAAGGATTTATGTGTATGGTTCTTATCTGCTTTCTTATCTAACATTGCTGGTAGTTCATATGCTTCAAAGTTTCTGGCATGATCTTCGGTATTCCTGCAACTCTTATCTAAATTGTTAAGAGTATCTTTTACGCTTGTACTTGGATTTTCTAATGGTGCACTTGAACCAAGGTCAAAGTTCAATATTATGTCGTCTGCTCTAACAGTAGTGAAGGATTTATGTGTATGGTTCTTGTCGGCTTTACTGTCTAATGTAGCTTGAAGTTCATTTATATCGGAGATGTTGTGTTTATGAGATTTCAAAACTTTGTTCGTTGCTTCGAGTTCAACTTTGTCAGCTTTACTTTTAATAGCATCTTCAAACGTTATTTTTGACTTAACTCTCAAAGTAAATCTTGGTTCAACTAATACACCGTTAACAGAAAGTAGAGGCATAAATTTCATCGTTATAACAAATGCTTCTGGTGCTTTAGCTACATCATACTGTACAGTACAGCTTATGTCATAACCTTTAGCACGAATGTATTTATATCTTCTTTCATTAACATTTTTTGTCTTCACTTCATCACTTCGTGTTAAATATCCATGGTAGTCCGTTATAATCTGTTCGTCTGAAGTTATATAATGAATGGTTTTATCTGCTTTTTCGGCTAATTTCTCATTAACATCATTCACTTCTAATTCAACTCTTCCGCCAGAACTCTTATTATCATTAATCTTTTTCATTAATTCGGTAATTACGTCATAAAGACTATATTCTGTTTTCGGTTTTGTAAATAATGAGTCAAAATTTCTTTTCATCATTACATCGCTGACATTAATGATATCACCAATTCCTTTTTCATTTATTCTCTTCATTAATTCTGCAATAATGACGAATATATAATCTGTTAATTTATTCTCTTCATCGAGGGTTATAGAATGTTTTGAAATTGAATCATTAACTCCTCTAAATAAATCAATAACTTCAGGATACACGTTTTTAATGTCTTGAATAACCCGACCAGTATCCTCGCCACTATGTGGCTCTGAGCCCGTTGGGCTCTGTTGTTCATGTTCTTCGTTCCCGTCGTTACGTGGTTTTATATCTCTAACCATCATCAACGCAGCCATAACCGGAGGGTTTGTTGCTACCTGTTCGAAAATCCGTCCGTTATGTATGGTATATCTAAATAATTTCTTTGTGTTTGTTAAAACATTTGAAACAAGTCTTTTAAAACCATCTACAAAATTTCCTGTTTCACCTAATGTTCTTGCAGCATTTACAAGCTCACCCATTCCCGCTTTTGACCCCAAAAACGTCCATATTGCATTTATTTCACTCTGTATAGTTGTCCATTCAGCGAAACTAACACCCGCATTCGCTAAGCTGAAAATGAAATTCAGTGGATCGAACTTAATTCCACCTTCTTTTTCAATTTCAACGAACTCACTAACATGAGATTTTAAATATTCTTTCGTTAAAATTGTTTTCCCCGATGTTATGTCATTAACGAAACTATCACCGTCAAAAGTTAACGAATTCAATTTCGTCGTTGATGCTTTTATTTCATACACCGCTTTATCGATATTTTGGCTCACCTTCTTTAGAAGCATATGAAACATTAATGAATGAATTATATGTATTCGTGAATGAGTTAAAATCAATGATTTTCATTAATGACGCCTTTAATGATTCATTAACTGTTGAATCCCTTAAAACAATTAATGAACTGTCCTTTATGAAAGGTACACTGCAAACCGTCGAGTTTGGATCAAATGCTGTAGTTGGTGCAGGAATATTAATGATATAAGTCATTAAATCATTAAGTGACGTAAATAATGTTGTCGTTTTTGATTTAATTTCTTTAGCATCTGTTATATATGGTAATTTTATTTCTGTAGTTTCTGAATTAAAGATATTCGCTAAAATGTTTTGTAAACTGTTTTGAACAGCTGTGTAAACCGTTGAATCCGGAACTCTTACGATTTCACCATCCTTAATAAAAGGCATTGTACATGACGTAGTGCTTGGGTCAAATCTTTCGGGATTATAATTCAACATATATTCTAACGCTTCATGAACAGACTTATATACTGTTGTGTCGTTCTTCATGACAACTTCACCATTTACAATGAATGGCATTGTACATGGAGTTAAAATAGGGTCAAACTTTTCATAGTCCTTCCATGTTATGTATTTCTCGGTATTTCCATCAGAAATAACAATATATTTGTCAGTAAGTGTGAGAGAGTATTGACCAAAATATAAACGTTTAGCTCTGTCAGCTTCATACGCATATGCAGCAATACTCATATTTTAATGAGAATAAAATGTTGTTCTATTTGCAAAGTACAGACCCAAACGAATACGGGACAGTAAAGCTACAAACAAACTTAGGTCTTCAGAATGAGCACTTGCTTTCAGAGTTGTTGACTTCAATACTATCGCTTCATTCGTTATAACAGATGAAACAGATTTCATGGAGCTTGAAATAGATGGAAAGAAGCACGAAATAAGATTTCACAATAATGTAGAATATAAGATGGAAACATTAGCTGGAGTGTTAAATGCGCTCATAAATACTACAATAAACAAGGAGAACGAAGAAAACTTAATGAATGTTAAACTTATTGCAGGAGTTTTGAAGTTCAGTTATGCGAAGGAGTTTAAGATAACACGAATGAGTCATAGAGTTCAATTGCTTCTGGGAGCATACCATATGACATGTCCTTTGAAAAGTGTTGACAAAACGATTGAGATGAAATCTGTTCCATACGTATGTTATGGTAATTGTTTATACGTTGAGTCAAAAATAGCTAATGTCACAGGTATTTCAGGAGTTAATAGTAAAGGTTCAGTAGAATATAAATCCTTCTGTTATGCAGTCAATTCAATGTTCATTCCAAACGTTCCTGTCATAGCAACTCATTTAGGTAAATGGGTTCGCATTAGTCCTCATAATTTGAAAGACATGCAATTCAGACTTGTTGACTTTCAAGGAGAGCCTGTAGAACTGAAGGCACCAGTGCGAATGACTGTTGAAGTTGACTTTTTAGAAAATATTAAATGCAACAGCTTACAAGAGAACTCAGAGCTAAAAATATAAAGTATGAATGTTATGTATTAGGTCATGAACTTTGGTTATTGCTGTTTGATGAAACAAATGAGTTAGTTATGTCAGTCAAGAGAACAGAAAAAGGCGTCAAAGGCGCCGAGCGCAAAGCGCTATATTGTGTTAGTGAAAACTGCACCAAGTCAATAAGATTAGGTTTGCATTATGAAGATGAGTTCGATACTGTTGAAGAAGTTTTGGATAGATATTACAAATTGCTTTAATTTACTAAAACATATTTCAAACAAAGTTTATATTCTGTTGAAAGTTTTGTATACTCGTTCGAATATTTATACTTAAACTCAACTCCTGTAGTTCCTGTTTCAATGATGCGGATGTTACCTATTTTCATGAATGGTGGCGTTTGACCACAGCATTCGATTTCAGGGTCGAGATAGTCAATGACACATTGTTTCCCTGTTATTCGTGATATAACATTTTCAAGGTCCTCCTTTGTTAGAATTATTTGGTTCTTGCTTATAAGATTTGTCAAAAGCTTCTTATCGTCTTTGAGTAAAATTGTTTGGTATAACTGAAGAAGGTAATGGTCTACGTTATCTGAAGGATTTGTTTGAACATTTGTGTAAGGGTTGTCGTTGGCTTCTCTTGAAAGAATTTGGTCCAGTGGTGGATACTCTAACTTAACATCTGATGTAGCGTTAGCGTTTGAAGCTGTTTTAAATTCACGGATTTCAGTTCTGGTTCTTTTTCTTTCAAACACTCTGAACTATAGTTCTTTATGACAATATTGTTTGTCGTTCGTGAGTCAACATTTGATGTTGGTTCAATTGGAACATTAACGGCACCAGCTAAGATGGATTTGCTTCTCATTTCATATAGAATAAAAACCTTTTATATGTATGAAATGAACAATATACTCGACAAGGGTTTGAATGTAAAGCTAACGAATGAAAATATTGTTGAATTCACTGAGACAGGTGCTGTGTATAAAGATGTAGAACTACTGAACAAAAGAGCTAAGGGAAGAAGCAGGAACATGAACAAAGGGTGGAAGCCTATAAAAATTTATGTCAATGATGGCTCAGGAGGTTCAAACATAAAGTATGCAGAAAGTTATAGAGTTTATGCTCTCAAAGGTGAAAAGCCTTCATTTAAGAACAGCTATTCTAACGCATATCCTCAAAAGCTAACGGATGGGAAGTGGATGATATGAATGACAGCAAAAATATTAACAGAAATGGCGACAGAGATGCATGGAATTTGTTTACCATCAGTCAATTGAAGGTTAAACTTTAAAACAATGTTGGTCGTTCCCATGGAATATTTTTGACTTTAATGGTATTAGTCATGATATGAATCTCAAGGTATGAACGAGGAGAGATGAGAGACTTATATGCTTCCCAAATTTCTTCAAAAGGTAATGTTATACCTGACTGTTTCCAAATGAGTTCAATATCATAACGTGAGAAACCTTGAAAGATAACGAAGTCAGTTATGAGACGTTTTATGTTTAAAGCTAAAAACCTCCATGTTTGCATAAGTATTGCTACAGTTAAGTGGTAATGTCTGACTTTAGTAATGATGTTAGCTAATGGTGAGTCAGGCTTTGACACTAAACCTTTTCCGGCGAAGTCGTCGCAAACGAGCAGAGTATTTGAAGGATATTTTTGAAGGGGTATTTTGAAAGTTTTGATAGAATGTAGTTTGTAAGTCGTTTCATATCGTAAACTCCTGAGTATTGACGTAAGTGGTGTTTGTCAATAATTCTTTCCATCTCTTCTGAAGTCTTTTGCATTCCTGACTGTATAAATTCAACGATGGCATAATATTTTCTCTTACGTCGAATGTAACGTTGAAGAAATTCAATGAGTTCACTATCTGGAACTTTAACGACAGAGGCTTGAACTTTTGACATAAATGTTTTCGCTGTTGAGTCCATAGAGTCTGAAGTTGCTGATATAATGATTTGGTCATAATATGAATCTTTCCTAAACGCTCTGTTATGAGTATATGACGAATGAGGTTAAATGTCTTACCTGAACCCATCTTTCCACAATAGAAATAACACCATTTGAACAGAACTCATAGTCCTTACTGAAAGGAAGAATGAGAGAAGAGTTAAGTTTGTCTGTAGTTTCATTCATGTCTTCATCTACGTCATGTATTAAATGCTTCATTTTATCTCCATTAAAAATGCAAGTCAGAAATATTCAGAACATAGCACCGAGTCTAACTGACAAGAGTATAAAGATATACTATGAACACGTTATGATGAAACCAACCAAAATTCAAGAAAGTCAGTATACTTATGAATATCCAAGACACTGGGTAGAGTATGTAGGAGGTGAGAAAGCTATTGAAATCAGACAGGTTCGAAGTATTCCAGCAGGAAGAACAATATTATTGAAGAACTTTAATGTTTTGAGGTATAATGATGAAACAAAGAAGCAAGATAGTTTTCCCATTGCTGTGTATGTGAACCTAGACACAGGAGATGACATGAAAGTTTTTAACACAAAGCTTCAAACGGTAGTGAGAGAACAACTGACTGCGGAAGGACATCCATTACCTTCAGAAGTTACCATAGCATATAATTTTGAAACAAACTCAATAGATTTTAAAGTCATCTCTGCAAAGAAGTCAGGTTTTACATTTAATGAAGCAGATGTATATTCGAATGAAAACTTCAAAGCTATTGCATGGTTAGATAATGACGATTGCTTTAAGAAAATATTTAAATTCAGTGACTCAACGATGTCAATAGATGACCTTCGTGGAATGTTACCATCGACGTTTACAGTAGAAGGTTCAGCAGGATTGCTTACAAGATTGTCAATTGGTGGTATTTGGTCTCGTGAGAACATTGTTATAAAATCCAGTATAAGTGAATTTGCTGAAGAATCTATATTATGTCTTTCAAACTACATGTATTCGCCACCGAAGCATTATAGTATAACAAACTTTGTCAGTAAGTTTAACATAAGACTTGTCGAACCTTCTTCAATGAAAGATGTTGTGCTACCTAAAGATGGAAAGGATGGACTCATTATTGAGATGATTTTAATAGCATATTAAATGAGCTTGTTCTTGAAGGTCATTCATGATGAAATAACTGTTGTAGAAGATGTTAGCAATTGTTCAGACATTTTGAAGCGAATAGATGAGATAAGAAAGAAGTTAGATAGACCGCAAACGGACTCTTTGAGTCCTGAAGGTCTTTCAGACCGAAGCGGCGAGGACGAAGTCCATGAGAATGTTTATGTTTCATTGACTTTCTCCAGTAAAGAGAACTTTTATGAGATAATATTGAAGAGAGATGATTTTAATATGGTGTAAATGGTAGCTTGGGCAGCTTTAGGCGCAATGGGAACAAAAGCATTAGCATTTGGAGCAAAAGCACTTGGAGCTTATGACGCAGTAAATAAAATGAGTGGAGGAAGAGTTTCGAAGACATTAGATGCAAATAAAGGAAAGATTGGAGGCTGGGTTGCAAAGAAGTTAAGATTAAATAAAATAGGACTCATAAATAAAGCATCCAATTTGGTTGCGACTGAGTCGGAAAATGCTTTAGGAAAGGACGATGAGTTTGCAAAACATGCAAAAGACTTTAATGACCAGATGAAAGGTGAAACAATGCATTTAAATAGAGTCGATGGAACTCTTCCTCCACCAGCAGTTCTTCCGTATGGTCCCTATGGAATGTATGGAAACCCTTACGAAAGACCATTTGACCCATTGACTGGTGGAAGTAACTGGTATCATTACGGACGAAGAAGAAAGACAGTCAAGTTGGAGACAGACGTGAAGAAAGCAACTAAAAAGAAACCAAGGAAGAGAGTTATAAAGTAATGAATTCATGAGGTGAAAAAAGAGGTGAAAAAAGAGGTGAGATTTCACCACTTCACCTAAATTTAAATGGATGTTTTCATACGTGTGAGGGTGGTGATATCATTTATTTTAAGTTTATTTTTATATAAATTATTTTTATTTTATTTTTATGTAAATGACAGAACAAAAGCAACTCATTCGAATTCCACAGTATAACAAACATACATTTAAACATTTATTCTTCCTTCCTGAGCATAACATGTTCTTTCAAATACATCCGAGACCAGTTGACTTTTCATTGACTGTGTATAAAGATAGAAATAGTTATATCATTAAACCATACGATGACGAAGGTAAGTTATGTAAATTGTACGTTAAGAAGTTAGAGAAAGTTTATGGCTTCAAGTATGACTACAATAGGGTTAACACTGATGATGAAGATATTGAGGAAAATTTATGAGAACATTAGTGAAGTTGTTAGTGAGAACGATAGTGAGAACGTTTATTTTTACATTAGTGAGTTCGTTAGTGAAGTGGTTGGCGGCTTTGTAAATATTTAATGTTAAGTTAGTGTTGTCGTTTGTGTTGTAAAATATATGTTATCGGTTTCGTAAATATTTAAGGTTAAGTTAGTGTTGTCGTTTGTGTTGCAAAATTTACGTTAACAGTTTTGTAAATATTTAAGGTTAAGTTAGTGTTGTCGTTTGTGTTGCAAAATTTACGTTAACAGTTTTGTAAATATTTAAGGTTAAGTTAGTGTTTGTCGTTTGTGTTGCAAAATATACGTTAACAGTTTTGTAAATATTTAAGGTTAAGTTAGTGTTGTCGTTTGTTTGCAATTTACGTTAACAGTTTTGTAAAGTGTCAAATTCACAAGTATTGCGTACGGAGAAACGCAGTGCCACAGTACACGACTTAGCCATACTAACTCCGTTATCGGTCCAGATGCAGTAAGGAATAAACTCCTCTAAAAGTTTTCTTAAAACCTAGTTAGTATCCCTAAGTCGCGTACTGTGGCACTGCGCGCCTCCGTACACCACTTAGCGGTTTTGACACTTTACGAAACCGGTAACGTATATTTTACAACACAACCATAACACCAACTTAACCTTAAATATTTACAAAACCGTCTGACACATAAACGACTTCACTAATGACTTCACTAACGACTTCACTAACGAATTCACTACCGTCCTCACTAAATA